CCTCCATGCTTCTGGTCCCAAAGGACACAAAAGGATTGATATAAGCTCGGCAGACCCTACACCTTACAATAGTACTGGGATTAATGACTGGACACTCCTAAGAAATACAAGTGGTCATCACTCAGTCAATATAAAGTACACATACCCTAGCCTTGCTGTCCTTGAATGGATGAATGTGAATAGCAAAAGGTAACTTCATCTTATTGAGGAGTCCAGAAGTAGCTGGAACAGTCGACATTGTAGAGCAGAACACAAAAGGATCCGGATTAAGATCCCGTAGGTGCTGCGGTAGTAGTGGGGTGGAGACTGTGATGGGTGTGGCAGGCAAGATATTACGAACTTCTTGCACATTGACAGGCTGAATGTTCGGAAGCAACTGCTGAGGAGGAGGCTAAGGGAGAGAGAGAGAGGGGGGGAGGGAGAAGGGTATTTATAAATAAAATATTTTCCGGTGTCTTACTGGTTGAGGTTCTGGTTGAGGTTGGAGAGTAGAACCAGTCAGACCGGTTGGTCCAGAATGAGGATACTTGTTAGGAGGAGGAGCTGTCATGTGACCCAGTGGAGGCGGACCTGCCATACTCATTCCAGTACTACCCCCACCTTCAGCCATGTACATACCATGAGTACCGGTATGAGACATGAGAGTATGGGAATGAGATCCTGTCGGGGGACCTTGGGCCGCTGAAGTGGGAGGAGCTAAAGAAGGATGAGGAGGAAACTGAGAATGAGTGGGCGGAGCCTGAGGCCTAATATTAGGAGGACCTGCTAATTGAGTGGGTGGAGGACCTGCTAATTGAGTAGGCGGAGGACCTGCTAATTGAGTAGGCAGAGGGCCTACTAATTGAGTGGGTGGAGGAGGACTAGCTAATTGAGGTCTATTCATAGGTGGAGGTCTTGCTAATTGAGCGGGCGGTGGCTGAGGTCTATTAATAAGTGGAGGAGGACCTGCTAATTGAGTGGGCGGTGGCTGGGACCTATTAATAAGTGGAGGAGGACCTGCTAATTGAGTGGGTGGGGGAGGGCCCACTAATTGAGGTCTATTCATAGGTGGAGGTCCTGCTAATTGAGTGGGTGGAGGACCAGCTAATTGAGGTCTATTCATAGGTGGAGGTCCTGCTAATTGAGTGGGTGGTGGCTGAGGTCTAATATTAGTCGGAGGGCCCCCTCCTAGTTGTGTAGGTGGGGCCATTAGTCCCATTGGGTGTGGCCTAAGAGGAGGAGGAGGACCCATTAATGAAGGGCCTGGTGGGCCAGGACCCATTAGGGAAGAGGGACCAGCTGATGAATGAGAGATTAGCGAGGTGGGTGGAGCTCCCATTAATGAAGGAGGTGGGCCGTTAACAGTTGGTTGAGGGGGAGAACCCATTAATGAGGTGGGCGGAGCTCCCATTAATGAACCAGACGGGGGACCAGGAGGACCTGAAATAATAATTAAAATAATTTATTATCAATTACACTTTCCACGTTTTTGTTGGAATGCAAATTATAAAAATTCTACCACATCAGACAAATATCCCATCTTACCTAAACTCATTGCCCCTAGCTTATTAGCCACACCCCCAGGAGGAGGAGGAGGGTACTGTCCCTGCTGCTGCTGCTGGGGTAGGTTTCCATGGTAACCAGGAGAGGGCCCTGTTGGCACTGAAGGATTACTAGGATAGACTCTTCTCTGAGACATTTACTAACAGAAAGAGAGAGAGAGAGGAGAGAGGGAGGAGGAGAGAGTTCTTTCAGACAATAAAATGACAATTACCTCACATGCAGGGATACTCTATTTAATGCCACCGTCACGTGATCAAGTCACGTGATTTTATGACTGACACGTTGGCCTACGTGTTATGTGCTTAGGTATTTTGTTTTGTTATTGTTTGCAAACATTGGTTATCATGTTGCAGCAATTTTCCCATTCTCAGTATTCTACAGTACATTGAGTACAATTTCATAAAAACAGCTGGAAGTCACGTGATCCATCACGTGACCCCATTTTGCTAAAAACATGACATTAATATTTGTAGAGCTAAACTGGAGGCTAATTTAAAGATTTTCATCAAAGTAGAAAAGCAAAAAACTTTTTAAAAGCAAAAGAAAGAACTCGAAAAAACTTTTAGTAGTGGGCGTGGTATAATTGGTCACGTGACATGTCGTTGCCTGAATGACGTCATTTAAGTCGACAAAGGGTTAAAAAATAAATAAAATAACCCAAGCCGCACAGAATAGAAAGAAAAGAGAAAAGCTAAAGGTAATCCACATCCTTTCTCTATTGTTATCCCTCTTACAAATAAAGGAAAATGTCTTTTCTATGGGACTGGTTTACTGGAGCTCTGGGCTATCTCGGTAAGGAGATACAGAGTTGGGAATTCATCATCACTTTGTTTTGTTTGATTTTAAATTTGCCCTGCAGGTCTGTGGAAAGTCCAAGCAAAGCTTGTCTTCTTGGGTCTGGATAATGCCGGGAAGACAACCCTCCTTCACATGCTTAAGGATGACAGAATGGGACAACCTGTACCAACCTATTACCCCAGTAAGGGCATACCAAGAAATTAATAATTATTATTAACAATCATAGTTTTAGCAATATTAAAAAT